TTTAAATATAATTATTTTAGATTCTATATGGATGTATTTTATTTTAAATAAAAACATATAATTTTGTATGAATAAGTACTTAAACTTGAATAATTATTTTTGTCTAACTATTCACTATTGCATCAAAAGAATCACCGAGTTAATAAAAAATATCTCAAAAGTATGCGTATTAATTTGTACAAATAACTAATAAACAATAATGCTTGCTATCAAAGAAAGATTATGAAAAACGCTACATAGATTATGATGAATTACTTCTTTGTCAGCTAATGTCAGCTAATTATTTTGGAATCAATAAGCCATTATTGCTGTACTTAACTTTTATTCCTTTCGATATGTTTACATTTTTATTACTCGAAGCAATTCTTTACAAAAGTACGAATTTGTTAATTCTAAATCATCAATTAATAATATCAACACAATTGTGTGAATAAAAATTTTCAACTGACAATATCATGAAAGATGAACTTCGAATTATATAAAAGAATTTTTCCATTGTGAGATCATTTTTCATACACGCGACAAATGATGTTATTTCTCCTGTCAAGGGCACTCGCGCCCTTAATAATACAAGTTCCGTTATATATGACAGAAACATCTACGAAACGTAGTGGCTTGTTTGGACAATTGTTCGCAGGATTGCACAGCTGTTCAATACTGATTTCGCGCGAGCTGATCAATAAAACGATAATCTACTAATGGCATTCCAGGCTCGTTCATCGCTGCAAGTATAACAACGGCTCCAACGATGAGAAATAAACGTCATATAATAAATAAATAACTATTCCGTCAGACGCGACCAATTGGACGCCGTTGTTCGCAAGGAAGAAACCTGTTTTATTTTCGGACGAGTTTGGAGGGCTGGGCTTCTCATCTATTTCGAGAAGGCCGCCACTGCTGGTATTGTGTCTCTAAAGACGCGGGTACTTTACAGCTTTCGCGCGTAATTTTTCAGTCGGCAAATTTTCGTAACATACATATATATATTATTCGCAGCGATAATCGAAAAAAGACGCAAATTTTGCAAAAGAATCTAGTTGCGGTTATTTTTCAAGTTACTGTCGAATGTTACATTTATAATTCATGTAAAATCATAATGCCACAATTGAAGAGAAAACCATCATAAAATAAATATACTCAGGTCTCTTTGTCGCACTATTTAAAGTCAGCGATCCGAAACGAATTAGTTTATTTAAAAAAATATAACTTGCAAGAATTGCAAAGAACGCGCGGACATAAATATGTAGATGCATGTACCCGGATATACATTAGACTTTTATCATCGATACTTTCGCTTTTTAAGCGCGCAGTTGTAAAACGGGTCGCGCGTGCCTTCGTCCTGAGGAGCGTGCAAAAGACGGGAGCTTTGCGGGCGGGTGAGTCAATCGCGAAACTCTGACGTACACGTATCGTGATTACAGTAATTTCCCTAGATCGTTACACTCTCGGCGTGACGCGCGTGTATACGATATGCCGATTCCATGGGTTCGCACGTGGATATGTGGGTGATCTGATACGAGGTGGCGCGATATTGCGTGCGCGATTGTGCAACAAACACGAGACAGGAAACGATCGACTTCCTTCGCGGAAGTGTTAAGTTTTCTCTAAAAACGACGGCGGTGTCGGGCAGCGCCACGTGGCCGACCAATTTAATGTCTATTTCACTCGGACATGTCGTAAATAATTTCGTTTTCGAGCACATGGCTCCCCCCCCCCGTATACACGTACAAACGATATCCATGACGTGTTTTCTAACGAATTACTATGCGAGTGATCGAACAGGTCTGGTTACCAAGTCCTTCCAACGCGACTTCGCCTCGTGAACTTTACAACGCGATTTCATTCTTCTTTTATGACGTTTCGGTACAAATTAGCGACTTATTCGTTCAATAATCTGTTAATTTTTGCCACGTTTTAGATCGTTAAAAAGGATATTACAGACATAGTTCTGACATAGTTTCTACCAGACTTGACATGCCTTCAAGAACTGCCGTTTCTTTTGAGAGATAAAAATAATTTTAGATGATGAATGCGAGATTTGTCAGTGTTATTTTAAAGAACGCAGCTGCCGATTGATTGCGCCATAGACGTATCTACGAAATCGGACTAGATCAGGTCTCTTTAAATCTAAATATATACCGAGTGTCAGGGTTGAACGCCCTGGGATTTCCGGTCCTTGGCGTGTGCACTTCGCTTTTCCCCCCTTCTCAGTCCTTTTTATTTTTTCGTGCGGGCACTTACGTCTTCTTGTATCCCCCTCCATTTCCCACTTTCTACCGGCGACCTGGTTTTTTTTTTCACGCGAAACCCAATAGCCCTGTATCCTCTAGGATACTCCAGGACTATTTCCTGCGAGGCTACGCGGCGGCCGAGCCGGATGGGAAACCGCAAATGTAAAGCCCCATGCATAGGGCTTTCAGTGACACCGCATGTGCAATTTAATATATATATATTTCGCGCGGGAAAAAGAGCTACTGGACTTTAAAGGAAGTAGTTTGACCCGTGCCGATGTATTTTAAATTTGAGTTTATTCTTCAGAGCAGCATAAAGAAGTTCTTTCACAACAGAGAGGAAATTAAAGACAAAATTTTTTAAATATTCGATTATCGTGAAGTAATAACGTTTATAAGAATGTAATTAAACTTGAAAGTTGAAAAACTTGAGCTGAATTATGTATTTGGAATAATTTAACAGACACCAAATATCAATAGATATTAGTATAATATTAATAGATACAATTTCGCAGAAGTAAAATGGCGACTTCTTAAGTTACGGAATTTTTCAAGATTTACTTGCCGCGAGTGGCCGAAAGGGCACGACGCAATGTGCATGCCAATAAAATATCGCCAAGTCGTACGCACGTGCGTGCACGCAGAAGCGAAACGGTTCGTTCGGTGTGGTAAATGCACCACGGTCGGGTAAGAACCCTGGCCTCGCGTATGTAGGGGACACGACAGAGGAGAGACAGCTGTGGGGCAGCTGGCAGCGCGTGCCACGAACCTATGGGGTCTCCTTCGGACGCGAACGATGATATCCTATATTCCGTCGTACGTAACTAACGGCAGGTTTCGAACAATGCGACGTTCGCGAGAGAGCGTCGTCTATCGTCAAAGGGAACGTAGCTGGGTGGCTACGAATTATCGCTGCCTGGTTGCTCTCGCCGCCGGAAACTCGTATAATAAAATTGCTTATGACTATCTACGATCGTAATTTGTTTGCATAATGTGTACAAAAAAGTATCGTGGAGAGATTACTTCGCATAGAACGTCATAAAGATATAAGCATAACTTGTATAGGCCGCTACCGACAATGAAGCCCAGCTGACCCGCGAAGAATAATGTAATAAAATTTATGCTCAGCTTCTTATTGCTCGAAGCAAGTCTGCATTTAAAGAAATGTTGAAGTAATTTCGATTCAGGCAAATTGTCTACCACAAGTGACGAATTTTTTACATGAAAAACTTACATAGAATTTGTAATCGATCTCTTTTTTGTTATGTATAAGTGTTAATAATGTAACTGAAATATTTTTTGATTGTAAGAGATAAAAACACACTTCCAGTGTTGCATATTATTTGTATGTACTTTCAGAATAGTGCGTCAAGATTTTTGTTAATGTAATTTTAAAAGAACGCTAACAATGCAGGCGAGGGTTCTTTATTCTGTAAGGATAATGTGCATTCGTTTCCTGCGCGTGCTGCGATTCTAATGTTCGAGCCGCGTGCAAAGCGACGGAAAGGTGCGTTTTTCTCGCGAGTTTTTCACCGGCCTGAAAGAAAAAAGATCAGCGAGTTCAAAGCTTTCGGGGGAGAGCGTTTCAGCGAACATCTGCCGTCCGTCGTCTGCAACGATAATAATTCGAACAGCTGATGCTCCGCGGACGGCCGCCTCGCCTCTTGGATCCTGCAGGATCGTTTCGCTTTGTTGTTCATTCGTAAGAGAAATTCTTAGAGAACGAAAAAGAAATTTACTTCCGATCCTGCTATGATCAAATTTTTTCAAGTAAATATAATAATTTGCTTTTTCTAATTTTATAATTTCTATTAAAATGCTGAATAAACACTTTTATTAATTAAATTATATTCTTAATATGGCTCAAAAAAATTTGTCTTGTGTCAATATATTTTTAGATTTCTGAAAGAAAAGTTATGAGAAAAATAGAATTCTGTTGTAGTTAAATTATTTACTTAAAAGAACATTAATTTTTTTCTCAATTATCCATTGTTTATTCGCGATATAAATATAAATAAAAATTCTATACTTTCGTGATAGATTGCTTTACATAAATATATTTCTTAACTTCGCACATATGATGTATTTTTAGATAATGGAATAAATCCAGAACAACTGGACGTTTTAAATGATGACTTCAATCAATATAACAGACACAAAACACACACGTTATTAATATAGAATTACGTAATTCGTTAAATTTCTATAGAGAATCCTGAAGAAAGTTTATAAAAAAAAAAACTACAGCGCTCCGGAAGAAGAACGATCGACTTGTCCGCGATTGTGCGCAAAACCCCATTGGGCGAACCCGCACACGTGTTCGGGACAATCGATCATCCGGCAACAAGTCATTACCCCGTGGCCGCGAGAAGCATCTTGCCGTGAGACCAGCGTCATCAACCATCGTGTTAAAACACACCGATCGATTCTACTTTTTGAATTTCAGCGCTCGTGTTGCTTGGGTGCGTGTCCGCTGCACAGGCGTGCGTGGTAGGAATCGGGCTCGCCAATGAAAACGTTCGATGGCGAGCCAGCTGGCAAACTGGAGCATCGTACAGTAGCCGCGACAACTCAAACGCGCTTCGGCAAGCGCTAGCATTCGCACGTGGGCCTTCGTTGGCATCGGTTGTGTCTTACGCGCGGTTTGCGGTTCGCAAGAAAGAGGCGCCGTTTAGCACGTGGTGACTCGCATTTCTAATTCTTATTTCACGAAATACTGACCACCGTGCCGATAGCATTCACGTGTATTTTTTTTTCTAATCGAATCTAGCAATTGTTTTTCGAAAGTGCATCGTGCTCTCTGCGTATCCTGTAGAAGATTCCTATCAATTTTGATGTGTAATACTGATTGTGTACCAACATTGGGATTATCACGATAGCAGTTTTACTCTAACAAAAGGACAAGCGTGGTGCGTCGAAAAGAAACGTAAGTAAGAGATACAATAGCCAAAATTTTTGCAACATTAATTGTCATAAAGTTTTTAGAAATAGTGCGTATAATTATATATATTTATAATTAAACTACAAATAACAATAAAAAATAATAAACTATAACAAGAAAAATAAAAGAAACCATTATGAAATAAACATATCTGAATGTGATAAAAAATTAGGCGTACTAATTTTCGTAAATAGATTTCTTAATTATCTTTAGGAGAAACGATTAAACTACAATACAATTAAGCTCTACTTCTCTTCGATCGGTCTATTTTTGATCGGCGCTTCAACCGCCGTTATTTCTTTTGAAAATAGCACGCTTAGTAGTCAGAAGGAATGGGGCCTGCAAGATATCTCGTGAAAAAATTCATCGGTTTTGTGCGCTGGAACACGTCATATTTAATGCACATTCGATACTGTTATTGCTGTGCATGTTGTATGAATTTTGAAACCGTACGGCTCATTAGCGTTGATAACGTACCTCTTTTAATTGCTATCATTATAACATATCGCTTAACAGTTCTTTCATCGCTTTTTATAATTATGTTCAAAATACACGACCATTTAAATAACTGATAAGCTTAAACAAAGTCCATATAAACTAATTAAACAGTTCTGAGCATAGCAATAAAAAGAATTTTTTTTAGATTACTGTATTACTTCCTGTATAATTAAAACGCACATTTTCTGGAAAATTTCATATTTATAGCTTAATGACTTTTTAATAATTTCATACATCATGGAATAATTGATTAAGAGATAAATAAAAAAAATACAACAGAATTTTAAAACACACAGATAAGACTTTTTCAGCCATCGAAATAAACGGTCAGTCTTAATGCGTCTAACGATACGAAAGAAAGGCATGTGCAATCTAATTATATAAAAAAATATGACAATAAGAAAGTTGCAATTTACTAATACAGTTTTATCTCTCATTTCAATCGTCATAAATAAATTCCACACATTACGGCGAATAATATCGATCTTAATCCATTTAAATGACTGATGAAATAACAACAAGCCGCGTGTTGTCATGCGGCTGCTTTATCCTTGGGAAATATGAAACGTTTCCTATTACGAGGAAACACTGTCGCTATTCCCGCGCTCGCCCCTGCATATTTGCGACATTGAGATTCCGCGATAAAATTGATAAAATGCACCTCGGTCTCGCGGACAGCACTAGCCTGAGCTTTCCCGGGATTCCTGCTCGCCGACGCCGATCTACACGATCAGCCGGCACGAAGCGGCTGCGTCTCGGCTGAAATTTGCCCGAACGGGCGCGTACGAAATTGTGCGAGCAGGAAACTCTGTTTATCCGTCGATGAGACGTCGCGGGATGGCTCGTGGCCATCTTGCGCATTTGTAAAACCGTCTGCTTCTTCTCTCAGCTGCTTCCCCCCCTCAACCCTCCGTTCAACGGCCTGGTCGTTGCGACAAAGGGCTGCTACGAGGATCGAGCACGTGTTCCCCCGATGTTTATTAATAAACCCCGACGGTTGTTCGACGATTTCGCCGAGCCAGAAAGTCTGGAAGCAGGCGCAGGTGATAGTGTCCGAAAAATTACCCGAAATGAAATTCATGAATCGCAAATATATTCTGCTATGTATTTTTCATATTCGTATAATGACAAAAAAGTCATGAATTTTAAAGTTTAGGCTCCAATTGGCAGGAATTTAAATATACATCTTTGATTAATATACCGGTAAAATAAACCACGAATAAAAGTGTACTTCAAGAAACATTTCCAACGGAAAGACTCAACTCTCCAGCGGTGGGATTCATTTAATCGATTTTCTTTTCCGCGAAGAAAAAACTTCGCAAGCTTGCACAGAAACGTGGAAGTTATTTGTCTGCGAAAGTTTGCTACGATTTTTCTACTCGTCGAATCTCGAGAAGTAACGGGACTGAGTCTAGACCGAGTTATGCTAATGTTCGATGTTCTTTCGGAAGTTTACTAAGTTGCGGAAGATTTTATGAAATGTCATAAAAGTAGCAGAAAAATGTAGGACCTATTTTGCATTAGTATAAAATTTTCGCCTTCCTTAACCACTGCTTGCTGCGAAATTATTTCTCATGATTTTGTAAAAAAAAGAGTATAGTAAATACTTTTTAAATATATTTTTAGAAAACGTACTTAATTTTGGTAAATCTTTCAATTTATTATTTTAGTAAAAACAACATTTCTTAATACGTCAGTAATTAATTGTTCATTAATCACAAAAAAACGCTATGTTAATAATGAGCTTAAATTTAATTACTTCTTAATTACTTGTAATATATATTATTCTACTATATTTATATTAAAATTCTCTCTATCTCTCATGATGTAGCGCGGAGGTTTCAAGCGCACCTTTCGAAGTTGCTAATTTCTCTAATAGCACGAAACAAAAGTGTTTCTTTACTCTCTCGAGATTCCAACATATAATTAACAATGTACTGTTTTCTACGCCCGTACTTCTGATACAGAAAAAAAATGAGCCACGCAATTTTCACGCTATTGACAAGCAAGTAGCGCGTAACGTTCTTTAGACGGTCCGTAAAACCGGCGTACAAACTTTCAGCAGACGCACATGCTTATTGTCAATCGAATGCTTCAACAAGTGTTCCTGCACGAGATGCAAACAATTTGATAATGACGTTTATCGGTTGCGTGGCGGGAATTGCCGCATACGATCCATATTTGCCGCGACAAGTTTTGCGAAAAGGCTCAGACAATATTAACGCGCCAATTAGAGTCGGAAAGGAAGAAGTTGCTTCGAAATGTAATGGTCACGCGCTGCCATGTATATGTAAATTTTTGCAGACGAGGTATAAGCAGCTGTGTTGAATCCATTTAAAAGTCGATTAAAATTAATTAAATGTACGCGTAGAGAAAAATTATAAATTACAAAATTTTGACTATAAATATATTAAGAATTAAGCGATCAAAAAGTTGAAATGCAAGACATTCTATTAGGTATTATTCTATTAGGACATTCTATTAGGTATTATTCTTAAAAAAGATAACAAAAGGGAATTTTTTTGCGAATATAATTATAACATTTTTCTGAGAAGGAAAAATGACGCAAGAATTCATGTCGATGTTTATTGAGTCGCAGGCATCTTCAGGTTAATGTGCTTTCACACGCGTCCCCGCAATTAACTCACGAAAAGTACACTCGACATCTTTTTCTCGAAACTTGACGAAAGCCACGCGTCGTATGTTTTTCGAAAGTCTGGCCTCCGCGACTTTGGCCGAGAGGATATTTTCGCGCAGCGCATGGCAATCGGCCAGTGCCGAATGCACGCCGTGCGTTCGACGCGATCGAAAAACGACGGTGTCCGAACGTTATGCATCGCGACGGGAATTTGTCGTCTAAGTGCAGCACGGCCGAGAGAAGTACATTCTTCTCCGGCGCTGCGGGGTGTCTGCATAGTCCACGTGTGAGCTATTAAAAGGCCAGTGCTTCTCAACACGGGTGTCCCGTGAAACAGGAGATTTCACGAGCATTTCGTAGGTGCGAAGGCTTTATCGGGAAACCTTTTTCACAATTCTCGGTTATTGCGCGCAAATGAAGCACTTCGCCGCGACCGGGTTTCATGGCACGCAGAGAAAATAGCTAAGAATCGAAAAAGACCGTCGAAATTTTCGTGTCTCGCGAGGAATCCCAATTGCCGCTGCGCACCGTGTGCTTCCGCCGGCTTATGAGCCAGCCGGCGTATATCCATTGTTTCTACCCTCCGCAAGCCGTGCCTCTTATTACCCTGAAGGGTTGAAACTGCCTCTGTCGACACCAGTACTGGCCGATATTGCGTGTTTTCACAGCGTGCCTAAAATTCGGGACAAATATCGTGAAACATAAAGTGAAAAGTATTTTCTCCGTATAAAGAAATTATTATTTTGGGGGGAAAAAAAAACAGATACTTTTTCGCAAATGCGAAATGATTCTTGATATTACGCTATGCACTTTCGATGTTAATTATGTTCCTGTCTTGACACAGAAATTATTATTTGACGCATTGAGGAGTGAGAAAATCAATATTCTAGGTTAAATATATAGATTTCAACACTCTTTCCATTTTATGAATTATCGATATTATTCTATTAATGTTTCAAGAACATTTCAAAGTTGAATGTCCAATCATACAATGATTCTATGATCGTAATTTAATGATCCTAAATTATTCTCAAAGTACTCTTCAAGCAAACGTTTCGGACAAAGATTGTATGATCTCAATAGATTCAACAAAATATTGTTTAGGATCGAATCGCGAGCAGGAAAATAAAACAGTGAAGGAACCTTTGTAAACGGCTTTCCTTTATTTACTGATTTTCGCTATTATATCTAAGATTTCAAAAGCACTTTTACTTTTTTGTAAGTCAAACCAATTTTTATTTAAGACATTTTACACAAGCGGTCGCAATATAATCAAGATCATTAAAAGGTAATACAAATAAATATAAAAAATATAAATCAATTAGAGAATAAATTGTCTTATATAATTATTTTTAATTTGCAATAATATTTTTAATTTGCAATAATTTTACGAGCTCAGATTTTGAATTTTACTACGGTCATCGTTTATTAGCGGTGCATCTGTGCGCTGCAATATAAACATTTATCGCTGCCTGCTAAGTCATAGCTCCGGGAAAAGTAAATTCTGTGTGAACATTTCGACTTGGAGCGAGCCAGAATTTCTAGGATAGAGCAAAGACGGAGGGCAAGAGGGCGAAGGAAAGAAAAAAAGCGAGGAAGAAGAGGGCAGTGGAAGGGCGGTGGGAGGATAGGACGATGGCAATACAACAATATGATTATATAGCGTGCTGCACCGGTTTCTGCAGCAGCTGCCGGTCGTTTTAGGGGATCTCCGCCGAGAACGGACGAACTTTCTGTCGAAGTATACCAGTAGAAAAAGGATCGGGGAAGGGCGAAGAGAGTAGGCGGGGGTCGCGGCGCGGAGGGCCCAACGCACACAATACGGGCGAGAAGAAGTGGGAATGGTTGGGAACGCGCGCTGCAGTGGGGTGAAGAGGAAAAGGCATGTGACGGGGTCCGGGGAGAAAGGGACCGTTTCTCCCTCTTCTGTATAGGCATTAGGCGCCGTTGCAGAAACTCGAAAGACGAGCCACACGAAAAATACTCTACCTGGTTCGAAATCGACCGTTTCGTTCCCTCAGCGCGAGAAGCGAAAACTGGCTCTCTTTTCAGGCTCCTTTAGAAAATAAAAAGAGAGGGCCTTGGATGAAGGTCAGGGTCTCTCTCCCTCCTGCCCTTTCTTCGCCTTCCTCAATATATAATCCTCCTCGTCGCTTGAGGGCAAAATCCTCTCGCCCCTCTGTCGATTCGCCGGATTTTCCCGATGCGATGAGGGTTTAGCTTGCGCATAGAAAGGGACTTTTATCTGTTCCCTTTGTCGTCGAAGGAGTCATCGATTCGAGTGAGTTAGAGAGGGAAGGCGAAAATAACGCGCGCGTCAGACGAAGCTGGACGGCGATTCGTTTCGTTGCCCTTCACAGCTTTCGTGCTGTGCGAATTGTAGGAAGCGCAGCACGAACGGGAGCTTTCTCGCGCAGATGTGTATACAACGCATATACTGCGTTGCATCATCGTATTGCATAAACAATATTTTGAAAGAGCTATTTTTGATACTAAATATATTTTCTTTGTCGGAGTTCTTTAATTTCTTACATAAATACGATTACGAATATAATTAAATCTTTAGCAAATATTGTTGTTAAATTTTTTTATGATGTTAAAACACTGTGACTTTTTAATACTACTTTCGTCGATCACTGATTCTTTTACATCATTCGAATTTTTTTAGAGCTAATTTTGTTGAAAAAGGTATTGCATTGCATTTCAAGTACACATACACTATTTAATGTTCATTATTTTGTGCAATTTTAATATCGTTATAGGTCGTCCATAATTTCATTGCTGAACTCACATCATGACATGATTTATTAAGTAGGAAAAGTTATTTTGGATGCACTACTCACGCGCACGCGATTCTATTTTTATAAATCTGTTTATAACTAAAATTTCGCTATTTAAAAAGTCTTGATACAATATAAAACAGAGGTCTCAAAAGGCGGATATTTTATCTATTCTTTGACGAAAGAAAATAGCAATATTATTTTACATATTCAGTGATTTTTAAGTGATACATGCTGAAAAAATCAATTTTACACCTAAATTAATTAGATACGAATCTTTTATTAATAATTGTTGGTGAAGATCTTAATGCAATTAATGCAATTTCACATTGCGATAATTACTTTTTGAAGTTCTACTTGTTGCCTAAGTAGTGGCAATATCTCTCTTTTTTGCACTAGGATTTCCGCGTCCATTTCACTCAATTATGATTCCCCTTTCACTGAAAGCTAATGTGAGTAAGGCGCGTGCGCTTTTACAAATCGGCGAAATAAAATTCCTCGAGAGAAAAGTGATAGCACCTCATTTTTACCGCCGACGTGAATTACAGTTGCGGCGTAGCATCGCTGACACATACGGATCAAAACGCACGCATCATTATAGTGCGCACGCGTTAAGTACGCGTGTCAATTTGGTTACACGCGTAAAACACAATTGTCACGAAGCTCGCACACACATACGTGTGAACTTTGCATGACGAGCTGCCGCGGCATTCTCACCCTCGTAGGGGTGAGAATCAGACCTTTTCATTAGAGCTTTCTAAACTGCACACGTGCGGCTCCCTTAATTGGACGCAGTTGAGTTAAACGCGAAAACGCGAAACACAAACTAATCCACCCGTAACAAATACGCTACTTCGAGAACACAATGTAGACCGAGCATCATTAATGACTGTTTCGATTGTATCGATTTCAATAAGGCCTCCTTAATATGTTATGTGACGTGCGATTATTCTGTCCGGAATATCGAATGTCACATCAAAGATTAGAAGATTTCAGCGATGAATAAAATCCGTTCGACATTTAAGCTAAAGTGAATTTTTTATTCTACGAAGATAAAAAATGAGATGTAAATTTTAATCACTGTAGAATATACATAATTCAGATATACGCATCACCTTGTGTATATTTTATGAAGACGTAGTGGGAGAAAAGTAGATGTGTTATATACAGATTTCACGTCGTTCTCACGTAGGAAGCAGTATTTAAATCTGGAGTATTCGCGTAGACGAAAATACATACGTATCGATTTCATTCAAAATATTTTGTTCTCTTTAAAATAAATTTCACTGCTGTATCAATGTTTTATAGAATGAGAATATTTTAAACCTCAGAAAAGAGATAAGTCAGTTATCTTTATCTTCTCAGAAGTTATCTTTACGAATATTCAGTTTTAGATTGATTTCTTTTTTTTTTTGTTTTTTTACAAATAAGTGACGATGTAAATTTTGAAAAAGATACTAAAATTTTGTTTTGAAAACAAACTTTGGTTATTTTCTATTCTCGATATAATATATATCTATAATAAATTTTTTGTAGAAATGTTCACTGAGAAAATATCGATTCCACTTTTATCGAGAAATCTGTCGCATTTCCACAACAGAATCGCTCTTCTCTTAATTTATTGCTTTCGCATCTATCTTTACACTTCTTTCTTCATGATTTTAATATAGATCTTTTTTTCTATTTACAGATTAGGAAGCATTTTGTGTCTAGATGCTGCACAGCTTGTGGCGTGATTAACGTTGACCAAGTACCAAAGAAAGTGTCAAGATTGAGCAAGTCGTTCCGTCCGGCGGTGATCTCGCCAAAATTTGGAGGATGCTAATGCCCGGTGCTGCGGGTCTCGGTGTAGGCGCAATCGGTGCCGTCGGTGCCCCAGCGCCCGATGAGCTGGTCCAAGGATTGGGAGCCCTAGCCGGCACTACGCCGCAGCAAAAAGACACGACATGGACGAAGCTATTCGTCGGTGGCCTGCCCTATCACACTACCGATAAGAGCCTCAGGGAACACTTTAACGTTTACGGAGATATTGAGGAGGCGGTCGTTATCACGGACAGACAGACCGGAAAAAGCAGGGGTTATGGCTTTGTAAGTAATTACAAACCGTTTATCTTATTCATTTGATTTAATGTAATATCGGACATTGTGTGAAATTTCGTAACTATTGTAATGTCAATTGCTTGACATTTGTCAAGCGATTGACTACAAAAATTTAATCATTCCACCGGCATAATTAGTTAAACAGATTGGCTTTATGCTAATTTTGAGATACAACCTGTTTTTTTTCGCACATATTTATAAGCTTAGCTTATCCGTTCATGATAAGAGTCCGTCCTTTCTTTTGCAACGTGTATATCGCGTTTCCCATGAGACCTCGTGTCTGTTTTCTTATATTGCGTATCCTGATAATATAAAAATATAAATGTAACGGGATATTGTTTCTTGACAATTTAGCCTAACCATTTTCTTTCATTTTTATGATTATTTAATTTACTGATTTCGATAAAGTTCTTGTATATTAAATGAACACTGATAGGGAAAAATATTAAATTGTTCGAATATAAGCAGAACTTTTTTAAGAAACTTGTCGGCAATTACCTCTCAAAATATTTTCTGCTTTTTTTCTATATATTTTTTCTAATATTTAAAATTCTTTTTGCACATTTTCTGTTCCTAAACTATTATATTACCGTTGTGACGCCATTTTGGTCGACCAAACAGAGATATTCATTCAAAACTAAATTACGACCGTAACGTTTCAGGTCTCTCAGGTCTTGTTAAAATTTCTATTCGTCCTTTGTTCGCAACGAAGTTGTGATAACACGTTGTGCACGCATAGACCTAACATCCTTTTACGGTTATAACTAAACCTTACTTTAGAATTTGCCTCTGACTCCATATATTAAAACATGAATACAAAGACGATCTGCTATAGAATTTTTTCAATTTTTTTTCCAAATTTTTGCCTTAAACAAAAATCTATATTTAAATAATAACTTATATACAGCACGCGAAAAATATATACACGTTTATAACGCCGATAAACTGAAAAATGAACTCAACATGTATAGGTGATTATGGGAGATAAACCGGCGGCGGAAAGAGCATGCAAGGATCCCAATCCAATCATCGACGGTCGCAAAGCAAACGTCAATCTTGCTATTCTCGGAGCTAAACCAAGAGGCAATTTGCAAACGAGTAAGTGCATTTTATTATTTACAAAGCTAATGCTGTTTGTCAATTAATACTTTTCTCTTGCTGTGCGCAATTCATGTTTTTGGTGTGTTAACTATTTCTAAGCCAAACAGATTTTTGTGTGTAAGTGTATGATAAGTTTCGATTATTTTGCTCGGTGCAAGAATTTGCAACTAATAAAATATGCATGTCTTAATTTTGGATACTGGTGGTTGATTTCGAAAATATATCAAAATTTTTAGAATACTGCGCTATGGATTTAACGTGCCAGCTTTACTCGCATTAAATTATTGATATTGATAGGAAAGCATTTCGCGACTGCGCTTAATCTTCTGTCGCATTCGTACGGAGTTGAAGCATTCTTCAAGCTATAGAAATTGTAATTCAACTCGCGGTTTAAATCAATATATTTGCGCGCTTCTGAGAAAACGATCGCGTTCACATCGTTTCCGTCAGAAACCACGTCATATTTCCCTCATTTTACATTTGGTTTTCGTGTTTCTTGATTTTTGCGCGTCACAGTCACGAGTTTTGCGCTGTTGACACGTTGCCAGATCGCTGAAGTCTCATTCGTTGCAATATGCGCATTTCACTTGCGAAGAATAACAGTTCCGTCACATTATTTATTGGCCACGCAAGTCCAAGTCTGACGAAATCTTGGTAAAGCATTTAATCAAGATAATTAATTGTTTCATGTGAAATATTCGATACAAAAATACTACGTTCGAAGTAAAAATAGTTTGTTGTTCTTTTTGAAGTTCCACTTAACGGGTAATTGTGCGTCTAAAGAATAAGTTGAACTTTATACAGCGCAAAGTCTCGATATACAATGTAGATGTGCAACGGAGAGAAAGATAGAACGATCAGCCAAATGCTGAAGTGTCCCCTGAGTCATTTTCTCGAACTCTCTCGGTGGCTTTGAGCCAACATAGCTTGGCGCTTCGAGATCTAAATCTAAAATTGCTTTAACCTAAGAGAGCCGGGCCCGTCCGGTTTTCCTTTTTTCCGACAGAAGAATTGTTTCTAAAACCGTTTCTTAGAACCGCGCGAGTTTCACTTCAAAATAAAGCTTCGGTTGTCAATGTAAATTATTGTAAAATAAAAACGCAGATTGTTGTATTTAAAATGAATTGTGTACGGCTTTAAATTTTGCGCAAGTGCTTCGATGCCACTTAATTTTGTACGATTGAAAGCTGAAAATTCACAAATATAAGTATTTGCGCAGTAAATATTACTTGCATTCGTAATGTATATTGCGCCACTGTACGACGGGAAAGGCGAAACATAGTCTCGATAGGAACGGGTAATCGCGATATATTCGGTTGCATGGCCATTTCAAGTTTATTGCGGGCCGTAATGCACTCGTAGATAGCGAGCATGCCATCGGTGCATCAGTACGTAGATTCATGTATGCATGCGTCACGTACATATGTGCATCTATATGCCTCGTCTATCCACGTGTTTGCCACCATCTGACGATGCTACAACCGCGTAGAGCATAACAATTATTAAGTGATCGTTAACGGGCAGAAAATTTGATATCACGTCCACAAGAGTCGAAAATAATGACAAAACATGCAAATGTTTGCGAGTCGAGTCTTTTCAATCGGACATTTGCTCAATCGTTATCGCAACAGGGGATTTTTCCTACTTTTGCTCGTTCACGATGAGTCATACAAATTTTCAGTTGGCCATTTCTTCCTTCAAAAGATATCACGGTTGCTATTTTCGTAATAACAATTTCGTATATCGTCTATTGATTCAGTAAGATTTAGCGGAACACCAGTGTCATATATATCGATCATATAAATGAATAAAACATGACATTACTGAAAAATGATATGGCACAGATTTCTGACTAAAAATATGAATTATTTTTACTTTATACGTTCTACTAACTCTAAGCTGATAGAATAATGTCTTATATAATCAGACTTACGATAATTTAGCAAACTCATATTATGTCATCGTTAATAAAAATTTATTTTTACATTGTTCTATTTTTGCTTATGATACAAATTTTATAAAATAAAGTTTCTAAATGTTTTCTGAATCATTTTTTAACTTATAAATTCTTTGATTAATTTTGACGCCTTTTTTTTTAATATCAAGATGTCAATAATTAAATCAAGATAAAAATTGTTTTTCGTTCTTTTACTAATTTCTAACTTTTTTTCATTATATCCAGCAGAATTTTTCCTGATAGATATTTTACGCAAAATATAAAGATAAAATTGTGAAGAATTTTTATACCATTTTAAAAATGCTAAATCTGTTTGCGTTTAATTATGAGCAGAAATATTAAGTTCCAAAACAATAAAGTAGCCTTATTGAACATTAAAATTCAGCAGTTGTGTATCTAATTTCAGCATTCCCGTTTGCTGGTATCCGAGCTGGTTATCCAACAGTTCTTCCTGGACAATATGGGTGAGTGCCACATTTATGTGCTTTGTCGAGGGATATTAAGAACGTACATGTCGTAACTGTAGTTAGATCAAAGTAGCCTAAGTCAAAAAGAGACCCCGCGATCATTCGTAGCTGCTGGCTACTAATATTCTCTCGCTGCAAGTCAACGAAATCATTTTTGCGCGCGATTTTTGCGCTCTCTCGAGTTGTTCAATTGTCATCGTCATTCAATTGTCGCGTGGACGAGTCAAATAAGAAATAAACGCTCGCAGAAATTTGTTGATTAAAGATTGTCGTATAATGAGAAACGTAGTCGACGATTTTTTGCGTTTTGTGAATAAAAAAGTTTCGGGCCATCCTTGCAGCGAGCCAAGTTCACTTTCGCGCAGGAACTTCGCGAAATTGTTGCGACAATAATAAGTCGGTAACGCAACCGTTTAAGAATTAAGAAGGTACTCACTTAATGGAGTCGCACGGTCAATTAATTTTACGAGTTTTTTTTAAAGACACCATATATATGACGTTTCAGCACCTGACGCGCGCGCGTAAGGAGACGAGCACAGAGAGTCCTCTCTCCGAGATCTTTGAGGGTCAAGGGCCGTTCTAAGGACCCCGTATTAATGCGAAAGAGAGAAAAAAGAAAGAGAGAGAAAAAAAAGAGAGAGGAAATGTATTAGCGATCGGTGAAAGAAAGAGAGCGAGAGAGAGAGAAAGAGAGAGAAAGGGAATGAGAGAGAAAGCGGCACACGCACACGTTTCAGAAAAACCTACACGTATGAGTACCTACGAATTTCTTTCCATGAAGTTACATAGCGGAGATCTTCCGGGGATCGGCCTGTTCCTCTTCTCTTAAAGTTACTTTTTTTGATTGTGTTTTTTTTTTGTTACCTTTTTTTCTTGGTGATACTGACGTGAAGTGATGATAATGATTGCGGTTGCTGAGAGATTTGCGATTGTTTGTTACTGGTTTTTAGTTTTTTTAATTTATATCTTTACTCTTTACCACACTCTTTCTTAATCAGCATAATATATTAATAATGATAATCGTAGCATAATAAATTAGTGATCATAATCGCAGTATCGATAGCTATCATCTCTTCGATTCGACACTACCGTCTTACGTCTTTCAACAATTGGAATGCAACATGAGTTTTACAAAGTGAAACTCGATCGTTCTAACATTATTTTGACTTCAGAATAATCTGCGATAATATTATTATCTAAACAATTTTTAATAGTAAATAATTCGGGAAATCATGTTTCATAGTTCAAAAATTTTTGACGATTATTTTGGAACACCGAAAAATGCAAATTCAAAATATTTTTCTCTTTTGCTCATCGATACATTAAAAAGGTAAAACTGGAAATGGAAAATACGATGAGTAATATTGCAATGATACTGCTGGTTAGTAGATTAAATGATAATATCACTTTCTTTGTCGATTAACGATCTCTAATTACTGAAATTCACAATTAGAGACTAGCGAGTAATCGGTTTATTCTCGCTGATTAGCGGTTTCTTTCTTTGCAAGCAATTTTTTAAACCAGAAATTTCTTTCTTTCATTTGGTGTTCTGAAAATTGCACACTTTTTCGGTGATTTGTTTTTATTTTCATTTTCATATGCATATTGTACTCCGTTCATTATAAATAACTGCTCTTTTGGTTTGCCTTTGGTGGCGGGAATGCTAAAACGGAGCAAGGATTACGCCTTCCAATTTTAGATGCGGGTTTTCAAATCGCAGTTCTTCCTCTCGCGTTGGATTATTTATCTTGTAGTCGAAACGAATGAGGTACTTTATTAGACACTTTAACGAATTTTGCAGTAGAGCTGATTCTCTCCTAAAACGTATCTCATTGGCTTGTTTTGGAATTAAAGAATCGTGATGTGAAATATGAACACAAATGGCATAAAGAGCTGTATAAATTCCGAGATAGTTAGAAGGTATCTTCGTTAAATTAGCGCAAGCCAAGGAAGAAGCGTATCTGATCCATTCCGATCCGCCAGGGAACCGTCCGGCCATTGCTTATAAATATTTAGTCTTTCGAGGTACGTAGACCATGCAGACTTCTCGCGCTTGCTCGCCTAAAACGCCTTTCGCGAATCCGCGAGAACGAATACGTGGAAGCTGAGCGCGAAGAGAGATGATGCGCGTTGAAGTTCCGTCGAATAAAGACGATCGTAATTTCGCGAGCGACAAGATTCTCTTCTTTCTGGGTTTTCTCCGCCGGAAATCGATCGGTCGCGAGACACGAACGAGGTGTATTAATTTTTTATTGTGCGACGATCGATCCTATCGCGGTTCACCTCGTTTGGCCCGGCGGACTCTTCAATGTCGCACGAAAATTTCATCGAAATCTTTTCAGAAAAATTCTGACTTAACGATTTAGCAATTTCGCTGCTCCCTTTTCGGATAATTAGTTTCATTACTAATATATAGGCGAAGGAAATGTTTTCCGAGGCAAAAGAGAATGTGCTTTGTCGCAAGTGACGTGAGCTCTAAGAAATATTGACACAATTGTGCTGCAAAAGGCAGACAGAAGTTTGCGTGAACTCGAGCCGGATGGAAAAATTCGGATTTGCCAAGTTGTTACATTATGTAGCTCAGAATCGGGATGGAATGCGAGATAGATATACTTCTCCTTGGAATACGATAAGGTCGATCGAAGTGTCTTTCCTGGAATACGGATGCCCGTCGAGACTGTATAGGATTCGCTAACCACTATAATAATTAATAACCTTGTGTGTGTGGTGAAGGCTTACACTACACTTGGTGTCGCTATTGGTGTTGTTTTATTTTTTTTTTTTTCTTTTTCTTTTTGGTGTTGTACGTGGTTTTTGGACTTTCAAATAACACGGTGTAGCTCTCTGTCGTGGGACAACGAAGCGCAGTACTGTCGGATGTTGTTTTCTTATATTGGAAGTTTTATCCGAGTGTTATCGGATAATCATCGTTTGTACAGCATGATCAGCCTAGAACCGTTATCATCGCACATGGCAAACAAGCGCGATGTCTTCCCGAGATTGCTCGCCTTCTTTCCGCGACTGTGAGAAAATGCGCGGTGGCGGAAGGCAGAAGCGCAGTTCGATCTCCTATCGCTCTTCGAGTGGCGGTATTTTTTTTACGAAGCAATCTGAGACTCCCTTTTTTTCTCGCCCGTTAACGAAAGACCGCGGGAGATGTTCCGACATTCCTCATCTTACGGGGAAATGTGCCGGCAATCGTATGAAGGCAGCATGAATATGTGTATATAAGAACGTATACTCGAAGGGGGGCTCGCTTTTTGTGCGGTCCAGCGGGGCCTCACGCAAAGGCCAATTGACTCTCGCATGTTCGAAACGAGTCGAAACGATCATGAATTCAATGACAAAATCCATCAGTCTTAGCACGTTTTTTACTTAAAATTTTGCATCATTGGCACGTTTGTAGCACGAGAAAAATCGCGATTGCACAAAGAAGAATAATTTGCACCGTAATGTGAAAAAGAAGACTTGAAAAGTGTAACATCCAAACTGTTTTAAACATTGAACAAAATTCTTTTCTATTGCGGTACAAAATTATTCTCATTAAAAATGTATAGACGTCATATGTCTGCGGAATGCGATGCGACGTAAGCACTTTTGCACGCGAACAATGGTGGAACTTTTCGTCACGGGCGAACGTTCGCCGATTAAATCGCCCAAAAATTTGCATCTAGCACGTCGACATGCGCTATTGGCAAGAATCGTCGTCGGCGTCACGCATAGGCGTGGAACGCGGCGCGCGTTTTGGAATTAGCGAAACGTAGGTGGAAAAGTGAAATCCAACACCAGCCCGGACGTTTCGGTAGACGTCAGAGACGATTCCGTCCGACGATGCTAGTAAATCTGTGTCGTAAGCGAGCCGACGACGACGACGACAACGACTACGACGACGACGACGACGCCGAACGTCTCGACCGGCCATCTTGGTGCCGCGTTGGCGACGGTCCAGTCTTTATTTAGCACCACCTGTCCCCCGTGTCAGCTTTTCTCTACCCGCGAGCCCGCCGCCGCTCGCTCGACAGCCCTATCGAGAGGATTCTAAACACGATTTAAAGCCGTCCTTACGAGGGCGAGTTATCGCGCCGGGCCGCGTTAGAGATCGACGGTCATTTATGCCGCCGCTAGCCATTTCCGCTCGCCGGTGTCCATTCGTTATGCGCTCACCGGAAAAATCGAGAGTGAGTTAATGGAACTAATTCAAGTCTAAAGAATGTTTCCTGCTTTCGAGCGTTTCCCTTTCGCGGAGGCGGTGCGTCTATGATTTCTATTTCATACGTTGCTCGGTATATCATTTCGCTATAAAAAGTATAATACCATATCATTCTTATAGCTGTAAACTTTCTTCACTTCGTACCGGCCTATAAATCGATTCACATATTTTCCGAGATATCGGAATACGCGAAGTGTTAAATTGCGCTAAAAGCGCTGAGAAAGCTGCGGAAAAATAAGTCTGCCAGCTGTGTATCTTTTATGTGGTGCAATGCTATCTCGGGAAAAGTTTGCTCTTTCTGACTCATTCGTAAAAACGTTGACTCATGTGCTTTGTGAAACGGCCGATTCAAATGTTGAGCGCCACTTCGGCGGAGACATTTCCGTCTCGTATGCCGTTGGCCGGGAATAAGATCTACAATCATTTCTTTCGGGAAAGATGAAGCGTGTCGGCGGTGTGGTAAGGGTCCATTTCTATTTTCATTGCCGTGGCTCCCATCCACCTGTCGTCGTCTCTCTTCTGACGCAAGCCGTAACATCGCACTACGAGACGTACACCGCGAGCAGTTCTGTCTGTATCGCATTTACATAAATACATTGAGGCCACATTTAAGCCTGTATGTCGGGTGTATTAGTACGCGCGTAATTCCGGACTTGAAATTTTAGAACCTCCTAAATAGACAAACCACTTTCTCGAGCGCGTCCTCGGAACACCTAGGAATTCAAAGTTTCGTCCATCGTTATCCATCCGCCGTCTCTGTCTCGTCATGTATAAATAACGTATACGC